GGGGGGGGGGGGGGCATCCAGGTCCCAGTGAGCGGGAAGAGCCCCTGGTGACCGTGTCCCTGCGGCTCACTTGCCAAGTTCTTGAGAGCTCGGGCCCAATGTCCTGCCACCTTGACGAGGCGCACACACACCCGATTCTGGGCGTCCCCTCCAGGGCGAGTCTGATGAACGACCTAGATGCTTCCTTCTGTTTTCCCAGAGCCTTTCTCTGTCCTTTCAGGCCCAGGCTCCTGCCTCGTCTTGCTGGTGTGGCTCCCAGCGGGATGGCTCTCCCTCTCTGGGTACCTCCGGGGCCTCCCCTGCGCAGGTGGGGATGGCGATAGCACTCAGGAGCCTGTCACAGTTCAGCAGGCACTGAGAGCAGGCCGCTCACTTCTGCGTTAACGGCCCAGGTGGTAGGTGTTGTTGCCATTTGGGGCCACGTGTCTTTTGTTCGGGCTTTTCCACTCGGCTGCAACGTTGGGGGGGGGGGGGGGCGGGAATCCGGGCATTTGAGAATTATTGTTTGTCGTAGAGAATTTGCAGACAAGCCCACGTAGTGAGTGGCCCCTGGCTTTCAAATGAAAGTGCATGAAAGGTAGCTGTTAGACCTGGGGCGCCAAATTGAGAACGCGGCCAAATGCAAAGAATAGGGAACTTTTTTTAAAGATGGGGTTTTAGTCTGTGTAAGTGTGGTTGTCAGAGGCATGTTCTTTCTCCCAAACACTGCTTTTTTTTATATTTTTTTTTTGTTGAATCCTCACCTGAGGCTATTTTTTCCATTGATTTCTAAAGAGAGTGGAAGGGAAGGAGGGAGGGGAGAGAGAGATCGATGTGAGACACATTGATGGGTTGCCTCCTGCACGCCCCGGCTAGGCTAGTGATCGAACCTGCAACCGAAGTTTGTGCTCTTGACTGGGAATGGAACCCGGGAACCTTCCATGTGTGGGCTGGCACTCTAACCACTGAGCACACTGGCCAGGGCCCAAATGATGCTTTTGATTTAGCCAGCTCCTCTACCTTTTGTTGTTATAATTAACATTTTGTACTTTTTAAAAAATTGTCTGCCCACCAGCTTCCCGATGAGCCCCTGGGACACCCCACCCCC